AGTATTCCTCTGAGTAATTATGCTGGAAGATTTTCCAATTACTGTCTCCCTCTTCATTATATCATGTTGAAGATTACTAAAATTTGCATCTCTGCTTTAATGAAAATGATGGTTGTTAATTTATTTCCTTGTCATTGCTAGGTTACCAGATACCCTAAGGCATTCGAGTAAACACTACTGCAAGGGCATATATTTCGATTTAAGCCTCTTCAAGTTTGTTTTATAGAAGCGTGATCCAAAACAATGTTATTCCAACAAGGAAGAAAGTAAATAGGGTGAACACATTCTTCAACAAGAAGATACTATAGAACTGAAGAAATATAAACATCAAATTCCCAAAACTTGCATTAAGGGAGATTATAAGGAAATAAGGCAATTGTTTTCTCTCTATCAGATCACAGCCACGTTCCCTAAACAGTGGTTTAACGAGCAGCAGCAGACAACAGTACCTTCGTTAGAAGCGCTGGCACGTTTCCTTGCAACTTTAGCACTCAATATACAGCGGTCTTGTGCCGGGTGCCCTGAGGCCGAGAAAAAGAAAGCAAGGTACTTTCACCTTTTGTTTGATTTGATTGCGGTTCGTTTCTTTCTTTTTTCTTTCAATTCAGTTTAGTGGTGGCATATACTGAAGGCTGGACAACCTCAGTCTCGACGAGTGTTGATGAAACCGGAAATTGTATATATTATTTTTCATTATAGTAACTTCATGTAGGAAGGGCAGCCCTTGCGACTGTCGTCAGAGAATTTGATCAACCTTTTAGCAGTGAGCAACTGACACTACTGACCAAAAAAATTATTTGAATTGAGTAACTGAAAAATCTGTTTGAATTGAGTTACTACTAGTAACTTATAACGAGACCTGCAATATGGACAGTGACCAATAGAGAATTTTTCCTTACAACATCAATTCGATATTAGGCAGAAAAGTGACGATAATAAAGAGAAATATCAATTAGGGGATTTTTAGTTGCTGTAGTACTAAATTCTCCGAACTAGCATATTAAGAATTGTATGGCAGAGTTAATAGAATCACCAATGAGACCTTGGGAAAGACAGGGTTAAAGAAGACACGATTGTCTATTGATTTGTTTTGTTGGTGTGTTTGTTTTCAGAAGCGGCATCAAGAAAGTTATACAAATTCTCCTTCAGTTAAGATCCGTGGACAAAGCAAAGATGGTAGCGGCAGAGCACAACATGGATGACGTTGTCAAAGATGTCTGACAAAGGCTGGAATCGTTGCATCTTGAGCACTTTTAATATCTGGACATTGAATCCATTTATATTGGACCTGTTGTTTAAAACTACTTTCGCGACTTGTCTGCGGCCGTTTTTGCTTACGCATCTTTTGAGCCCCTAATGTTTCCGAGTCAGCATGACAAGGTAGCATGACACATTTTGGAAAGATTAAATGGATATTTATAAAACTCTCACCAATACGAGACTGTCCCTGGTAAACATTTTCTTGACTATAGATGCTGCAGTGTATAAGGACAAAGTATATTTCTCGGTAAAATACTCTTAGTAGAAATTCTTTCTCGATGAATTACCTATTAAGAACACTGGCAATTCACATAACGTGCATTTCGCACGGAAGTCATGCAATCTTTATAATACCATGCGAAGAGATTTAAAAAAGGTCTCATTACATCGACATTTTTGCGTAACTAGTGCCAGGCAAACATTTTCCGTGTACACTTCTTGGACCAGTGAAAGTCTCTTGTGTATACTCACCGCGGTTCCCGATTTAAGCGAAAGTTGATAATTCGGCACCATTTCCGTCATTTAACATTACTTAATCGCACATCGCACCTTTTTCTCTAACCAGCAGAGCAGGCGTAATTTTAGCGAGCTAGTGCTCCGTGTTTTCTTATCGAAAATTACGGCTGCTACCTTTGAATCTGACGGCAGCGGAAGGGTGGGGAGAGAAAGAAATTAGTACTAAGAGGGCGGTCGACGGTGAAAAATAAGGGGAGGGGTGGGAGAATGGAGGTCTCCCCGCTCTTCACCCATACCCAATTCAAACGTGGCCATTCGGATGAACGGTCGCGAGCTTATAACGTTAGCTCATCCTAATAAGACGCCTGCAGTGCAGGCTACTTTTTCCTCTGTCATTACACATAATTTGCTGACATTTAACATCACATAACGCCGTGAGACAAAGTCACCACCACTAGACAAAATTTAGGCTAACTTTGTAGTATTCATTGTCACTAGAAATCTACTGTTATTAAACAGTAGCATATAACACACGAGCGCGAGTGAATGGTGCTTTTCGCGCGGTTATTGGGTAGTTGGAAGTGAATAGCAAGTACTTTTCATCTCCGAGCCGTCGATGAGACAAGATCGTTCGTCAAGTGTTTAATTGAAGACAATTTTTCGATATATCGAAAGAAGTAAACTTACCTTTTGGTATCTGTGTGGTATATACGAAAATCAAGATTCATTTCCTCTTCGGTGATTAATTGTTTATTATTACCCGTCGCTGAAAATCACCCGACATCATTTTGCATGATTCTGTCATTAGACATCATTCACCGTCATTGTACATCGTTTTCCTAATTGCCGTCACTTCACATTATTTAACGCCAGACTGCCCGCGCTTTCTATAACCTGGGGGGGGGAACACCGAAACACCCTTATCTAACTGGCCAAAATTGCGCGCAGTTTCCCTTTCTGCATAAAGGGAGTAAGTTCCGCGCAAATGGTTTCGAGAAATATCCAAGTTTCTTACGTACTGAAAAACGGTGAAGGTCGAAGGAGGGAGTACACAAGTAAGCCGTTGATGGACCTCTTCCTGAGATACTGATTTCAGACAGTAGAGTGCGATTTTAGACTACTGTCTTATATTAGAATTTTTAGTCAATGGTGTCCGATTTAATAAATAGTTTGATTTTAGAGTTTAAACACTTGCGTCTGATTTTAGACACTAGTGCCTGAATAAAGACAGTAGTGTCTAATTTCAGATTTTAGACAGTAGTGTCTGATTTTAGATCTTAGACATTACTTTCCGATTTTAGATGCTAATGTGCGATTTTAGACAACAGTGTCTGATTTAATTTTTTAGACACTAGTGTCCCATTTTAGACAGTGGCGTCTGATTTTGGACACTAGTGTCCGATGTTCGACACAAGTGTCCAATTTTAGACACTAGAGTCTAATTATCCTCTTCCTATCCTCTACAACCCAACTCACTTTGTACTACACCTTAATTTATCCGTCTATTGTAACTGCGCCTGGTCGTCCACATACGTATCTAACTTAAACAGAATTTATTACTTGCAAAAGCGAGCTGTGCGGGCTATCATCAACTCAGACTATCGAACCCATTCCGCTCCTTTATTCTCCAAACTAGGAATTTTAGATATTTTCCAAGTCAATACGTTTGAAATCACCAAATTCATGTTTTATTATAGAAATAACTTATTGCCTCCATTGCTTCTCAATCCTTTCGTAACGAATAGCCAAATTCGCAACTATGGTATCAGAACAGCCGGTAATTATCAAACACATTTGTGCCGTACAAATCTCAAGCAATTTACAATTCTCTACCAAGGTCCTAAAATTTGGAACTCTCTTCCTGTTTCAGTCACTCGTTCGTCAAACCTTCTTAGTTTTAGGACGAAAATGCAAGAGTTTTTACTTAAATAATTACTGAATTGGCCTAGCCGCACATTCGCAGCACTTTTTCTTTACTTTATTTATTA